AGCAGCAGCAGCAGCAGTTTTTCCACACTAAAAGTTGTTGCCATCGAACAGGGCCTTAAAAGCCCGCACAATACTCCGACTCTGTGTCTTTTGTGCCGACAATTTTAACCTTTGCATCCTCTATGCTCACTTCAAAGTCCTCCTCCCCCTCCTCTTCAACACTTTCATCCTTTTCTACGGGTCCGCCCTTGTACTCGAAGCCGATAACCAAGAAGAATATGATAGCGATAACCACGTAGACAGCCAAGGAGACGCCAGCAACGATGAACTTCCCGTTGTACCTGAAATTGAAAGAAATAGTAGTTCTTTTCATTTGACTTCTCTATAAACACTTACTTATAAGTCCCATTCTAATTTAAAAGGCATCACAGTTTTAAGATTTGGCGGGTTAGTTCTCTTGTATTATACCTTCACATACCACAGAGTTCTCATTAAATAGGCAGCCCAATTACGCACGGATCTAACCTTAAATTGTCGTCTGCATTAAAACTATATCACATAACTAATCAAGATAGTGGAAGGAGTCACAATCCAAACCCAGCTCAATGTTCTCATATAGCAAGGCAAGTGAGTTTCTTTTTCATATTTTAAGTTAATTGATGTTGGAGGCTGATTTAATTCACCTCGTCGTCAGTAAAGAGACCGTCTTCGCTGCATTCCGATCGTACTGTGAATTCAATGATTTCTAAAAGCCACTTTAGCGGACATAAACACGTCCTCATTTTTTTAGCAAAGATTTCGAATTACGACGATACTTCAGTAGTAGAAAACTTGTAAACTTTTTGGCATGTGTCCACCATGATCTTGTGCACTCATTGTTGAAGACAAATCTCTGCGTGGGCACTGATGAATTGTCCTCAACCTACGGAGCAAACAATCCAAATACTTCACTGCTTACTTGTTTTCCTACTATAACAGGCCGATGCGGAAGTAGAAATATCAGTGAAGCGAGGTCGAGATCTTCAACCGCTCAAAGCCCATTCAGCCTAGGCCGTGGTTTCTTCTCAATCCAACAGAAATGTCCCTTTATGAGTGCCAGCTCCCAGATCTCCTTCCCAATCTCTCACCTTCCTTCTACTACCAACGATACCTCTTGGTTCAGCTCATACTGACACGGCATACTGATTTGCTGTTCACTTTTTGCCAAACTACCGGCTTTCTCCAGCCACCCCTGCAACCTGACATATTTATGTCAACCACAGCTGCCCATGCTGTTTGCAACTCTACCTTGGTACGTACTTCATCCTCTATATTAACTATTCTTCCTGCATTCGATTTCTTTCATCAATCAAATTGCGGTCTCGGAAGGGATCTCTTGTAGTGGACG